CAACGCCTAATTAAACCCATAGCACACGCTTTACGCTAAACCAGTGGAGTTTTTGGCCCCCTCGGTCTCTTCGGCTCGCTGTTCCGCCGCCAAGGGGCCTCACCTCATTCTCTTTCTCTCACGTTTCCACTCATTCATTTCATCACAGGTTATATCCATTGCCTAAACCCATCAAATCTTGATATGTCTCCCCCTTTGTGTGAGAAATGTTCTTGCCTCTATCATTCTCGATGGCGACTGAGTAGCGCATCTGAGGCGAAGAACGCATGAAAGTGTATTCTGACTTGCCGCCGTTATCTCATTTATTCAGCGTTGAATCCCACAAGATGTTCAAGTTGAACGGCGTTTGCGCGGCCGATACCCAGGGCAGAGCTTGACGAGACTCGCCGCGCTTACACTGTTTGAGATCAAGTCCCTGATTCCGTCAGATGAGAATGTGATCTCTTGTATTCCAAAGACTACGTCGCAGCTGTCAAAAGGATGTCCTTTTTGATGCACTGCGGTGACTTCCATGAGACTGATAATAGTTGAGGGTAAGAGTGAGCCCGACTAACGGCGCTGAGAGTCTAGGTAGGTTAGGTCGATTGAGCTTGACCTGATAGGCGGAGACAGTGTGGTCCAGTGGATCAAACCGTGTTCTTCAGTGGATCGCCCTCCCGATTACATTGTCTTCGAGAGGGCGTGTGCACTTCGGCCGGTTCCGACCTCATCCTCAATTCATATAAAAGCCTCCCGGCCTTGCTCATATATCAATCGGCTCATACGCATCGCGATAGCATCAATTGACCGCGTCTGAACTACAGTGGACTCACTCACACATTGCCAGCCCGTTTCGATTCTCTGAACGGTCTTGCCACCTCCGAGTTCTGCACCGTTAGCTACCTTACCTATTTGTCGCCCGCACGTCGAGTGCCGAGGCACGCTCTAGCCAGCAACATGATCGTACCGCGCTCCTCTTGCCGACTGGCGAGACAATCACTCTCACAGCTTCAGTTCTGCCGGAGATCAAATCGCATCGCTCCCGCCGGCACGATCCTCGGGCGCCAGACACAGCGGTACATGAGCGCCGCCGCCTACCAGACCCCCGCCGGCTTGAAGGATCTTCTGCGTGTATCGGACGAAGTCGCCGACGCCGTTGCAACGAACAAGCCCGTTGTGGCTTTGGAGTCTACCATCTACACTCACGGCGCGCTGGGTAATGATCTCGGTCTGGAGGACGTCGTCCGTCAGGGCGGTGGTGTGCCTGCTGTGTGCGGTATCCTCAATGGACAACCTGTCGTGGGTTTGAACGAGGAAGAAGTTGCTTTCATGGTCAACTCTGGAACCGCCAGCAAGGTTTCCAGACGAGATGTTGCTCACTTGGTCGGCTTGGTAAGTCCCGTCACATTGGGTCTGCTCATTACATTGGACTCGCTGTCTGGCATTTTCTCTCCTCGCTTGCCCGACATGAAAATCACGTTCACTAACACAGTGCAGGGCATGACCGGCCGTAAAGTTCACGGTGGCACAACCATTGCCGGCACGATGCTCCTCGCCCGCCTCGCCGGCATCCGCATCTTCGGCACCGGCGGCCTCGGCGGCGTCCACCGCGGCGGCGAAAACAGCATGGACGTCTCCGCAGACCTCACTGAGCTCGGCCGCACCCGCGTCGCCGTCATCAGTGCCGGCTGCAAGGGCTTCCTCGACATCCCCCGCACTCTCGAGTTCCTCGAGACCCACGGCGCCTTCGTCGCCACCTTCGCCGATGGCCGCACTGGCAAGGTCGACTTCCCCGCCTTCTGGGTCCGCGAGAGTGGCACGAAGAGCCCCCTCGTCGTCGAGACCGAGCGCGAGGCTGCCGCCATGATCCTCGCCCAGGAGAGGCTGAACATTGAGTCCGGCATGCTCTTCGCCAACCCCATCCTCGAAGAACAGGCGATTCCTCGTGAAGAGATGGACGTCGTCATCGAGACGGCCGTCAACGAGGCTCTGGAGAAGGGCTTCACGGGAGCGAGAAACACCCCGTACGTCCTCGGCAGGATCAGGGCGCTGACAGAGGAGAGGAGCACGCTGGCCAACGTGGCGCTGGTGAGGAACAACGTGGCGCGGGCCACCCAGATCGCCGTCGAGCTGTCCAAAATGCTGAACGAGGGCACGGAGTCCGTGTAAGTGAGCTGCTTCGTGTGTATATAGCCCAGCCAGAAGATAGGTTCTGACTGCGTAGATAGCTCTTCAAGCAAATTGTTTACCGGATATGACGCTGCTGCAAAGCCTGCGACGAAAGTCGAGGCCCCTAAGTCAAGCAAGGCGGATGTCCTAGTTGCAGGCTCAGTAGCTATCGACTTAAGCTGTGACTACCATCCTCTAGGCGATGTTAAGGAGGTTTCGCCTCACATGCACACTTCCAACCCCGCTTGTATCAACCAGTCCATCGGCGGTGTCGGTCACAATGTCGCCCTCGCCGCACACAGAGTGAGCAAGGATGTGAGCGTCCGCCTTTGCAGCATGGTTGGAGACGATGTGTAAGCTGTCATCCTTCCCCTATTCACATGTTACATGACTGAACTCCCCGTAGCGCCGGAAAGACGGTCCTGTCCTCTCTCGAGTCATCCGGCCTCGACACAACCTACATCCGCCAACTTGGGTCCGAGTACCACCACTCGAACCGCACCGCCCAATACGTCGCCGTCAACGACGCCGAAAAGAACCTCGTGGTCGCCATGGCCGACATGGGAATCTTTGCCAACCACTCCTTCCCCGAGTACTGGAAGTCTGCCGTCTCAGGCGCGAAGCCAGGCTGGCTCGTCGTCGACGGCAACTGGAGCCCCAAGGACATCCGCGCCTGGATCCAGGCCGGCCGCGAGCAGGCCTGCGGCGTCGCTTTCGAGCCCGTCTCGACGGCCAAGTCGATCGGTCTCTTCCCCAGGGAGCACCCGCACCTGGGCGTCTTCCCGAACCCGGGCATTGACATTGCGTCGCCGAACAACTTTGAGCTGACGGCCATGTACACGGCTGCCAAGGACAACGGCTTCTTCGACACGCCGGAGTGGTTTGAGGTCATTGATGCGTTCAACATGCGCGGCGCGAGGGAGCGCTTTGTACAGCTTACGTCCGCGGAGATGACGGATGCTGGTATCCCGGTGCAGACTATCCACCTTCTGCCGTACATCCCCACGCTCGTGACGAAGCTAGGATCAAAGGGAGTGCTTTTGACTACGATCCTGGGACGGGACGATCCCCGTCTCAAGGACAGGAATGAGGAGAGATGGCTTCTTACGAGGGCGCCTGTTGATCATCCTACTGTTGGAGGCGTGTACATGCGTCTTTTCCCACCGGCGGAGAAGGTTGCGGTTGAGGACATTGTGTCAGTCAATGGTGTTGGAGATACCTTCTTGGGTGTCATGATTGCGGGCTTGGCAAAGGGAGGCAAGGTTCAGAACTTGATTGATGTTGCGCAGAAGGCGGCGGTGTTGACTTTGAAGAGCCATGAGAGTGTGAGCCCGGATTTGGGTCGTTTGGATGAGGCGTTGAAGGCTGCCGTGAGAGCTTGAAGGCAGAAGCTTCCGGTATTGAGACTGCATTGTGATTGTAAGCTAACCTTGCCTGTTGGTACGTAGGTAAGTTTCAAGTGCAGCGAAGATGTGGTTGAGGCTCGGCGATCTTTGAAATGAGGTATCGGCTAGTAACAGTGGGTATTCATGCTGTACCAGATCCTGAGGGTTGGGAACCGTTGCCATAACTAAAAAACCAATATTCAGTTCACGCTTCCCTATTGGTCATGTTGCTTGATGTCATCACTGCCTCTGGTTGGGTTTAAATTGCAGTGAAGTCCCTGGAAATCGTACCCGAACCACTCTTATCAGACGTACAGCTTCTTGTTCTCACGGCCTCTGTGTGGGTTTAAATTGCAGTGAATGGCCTGGACACCGTACCCGAGCCGGAAGCATCGCCAGCCGCCACTCAGCCAATGGCAGAGGTATCTTACGTTCATGCAATGTATGGCTGATATCTCCTCAGTTGCGTCCGCTTGATGAAACTTGCGAGAACTGATGTTCAGTTACCGGGTCGTAGATTGGGTTCCTGTGGCTCAACGCAAGCGGCAACAAATTCAAATAAAAATATGTTTTTAAGAGATGTCAACTTGACTTTGAAAGGCACTGAGAATATGAACGGCGATTTGCAGCGCTCAGATGAGGTTTTAAGGCTGCTATCGGATAGTTTGCGGTTGAGGCAGCAAGTTGGCATCACCTATTGGATGTCAATATGGTGGAAATGGGACCGCCACGACCTCAGACTTTGCTATGTGATTGGCTTTGAGTGAGAGTAGTTGAGACCACCACAAGGCCTTCAGGGTAGTTGAGATCGCAGTGAACTGGGCGTTGCCGAAGTAGTGACCTCGCACATATTTTACTAGATTGCACTTCGGTTGAGTTCGAAACGCGGCAAGGAGGACAATCCTTGGGCTGTACTTGGCCACGCTCTTAGCATCAGTGGCATCTGCGATTTGAGCACAAGCTGATGCAGGGAAAGATGGACATCTAGTAATTGACTACGTGGCAAGGAAGCGATCTCGATGACACTAGCCATCAGTGTGAATAGGGTCTTTTGGCTGGGTAAATATGTCTGAATCCTCATACGGAAGCAATTATTGGCCCTGAGACCAAGATAAAAGTAGTAAGGAGTGAGGAGAAGGATAATATGTTCCTTGTGGCAGCAGGCATCCCACTGGAGGACTTCACTGTCACAGTACGAATACTTAACGATTAGTACATTAATACCAGACTGCACGGTGTGAGGAGGGGCAGATGCCCCGCTTTCAGCCTCGGACTGCGCTCTTATTTGATTGGCTAGCAGCCACAAGTGGCTGAAGCTTTTTGCCAATCAGAATCTGCATTCATCTGCAAGGCTGTGCGCCCCCAGTAAAAAAATTCTGGACGTCTTTACAGTCGCCCATCCGCTCTCGTCTCGATCGCTGGTGCGCCGGAGACCTCGAAATCCTTGTCATATCCACGACCGCGACAATGGCCAACGAACAGCCCTTTGAAGAGTTCTCCGATGAGGAGGTCACCTCCTCCTCAGAGTCCGAGCAGTCTGAGCTCGAAGAAACCACCCGCCAGCGCAAACCGCAGACTGTATTTGACGAGAAGGATTCAGACGAAGAGGAACTCGAGCGATTGGTCCTTGGAGGGAAGGCCGACTTTCGCGAACAACTTTTCCGCAACGATGTTTTGGGCGATATCGAACGATTGGAGAAGGAGAGGAACCAACAACTTGTGAAGCAGGACCAGACGACACAAGAGGATGTCGCCGACCATGACCTTTTCATGGTTGACACCGGTGTTCCCTCGACTAAGGGCTCGCAAGCCGGCAAGCAGCAGCCCGCCGCCGTTGATCCCAATGCACCGGCATGGGAGGACAGTGATGATGAGCGATTGACGGTTTCCTTGGCGAACGCGACAAGGTTACGGAAGCTGAGAATCAGCGAGGGCGAGGACGTCGTTAGCGGCGCCGAGTACAGCAGAAGGTTGCGACAGCAGTTTCTGCGACTGAACCCCTTGCCGAAGTGGGCTCAAGAATCCGAAGAACGCCCATCGAAGAGGAGAAGAAGATCGTCAGCCGCTGCCTCCGACTCCTCCATCAGCTCCGACGAGGAGGGCGGCGACGATGACCTGTCCGCCGCACCCCTGGAGAAGTTCCTCCGCGACGTCCACCGCCTTGCGGGCAAGGACTCGAATGGTAGGACCCGCCTCAGGCCAGAGACCATCGACATCCAGCGCACGCGCGAGATCCCCGACGCTCACAAGGCCTCCGTCAACAATCTCTCCTTCCACCCGAAATACCCCGTCCTCCTCTCCTCCAGCGTCTCGTCCGTCCTGTACCTGCACCACATCAATCCGACGGCACACCCTACCCCGAACCCGATGCTCACCTCCGTGCAAGCGAAGGGCGTCGACGTCCGCCGCGCCGAGTTCCTCTACCCATCAGGCAACCAGATCTTCTTTGCCGGTCGTCGCAAGTTCTACCACAGCTGGGACCTCGAGACTGGCCAGGTGCAGAAGACCGCCCGTGTCCAGGGCCACCAACACGAGCACAAGACGATGGAGCGCTTTAAGCTCAGCCCTTGTGGCCGGTACATGGGTCTCGTTGCGTCCACCAGGAAGGGCGGTGGTATTGTCAACATCATCAGCACCGAGTCCAGGCAATGGATCGCCTCGGCACGCCTCGACAGCAGACACGGTATCGCGGATTTCGTGTGGTGGAGCAACGGCGAGGGTCTCAGTATTCTTGGCAAGGACGGTTCCGTCGGCGAGTACTGCGTGGATGACCGCAAGTTCCGCGCCGTATGGCATGACGAGGGCTGTGTGGGCGGCATCGTCATCGCTTTGGGAGGCCACCAGGGCCCCGAATTTTTGGGCGAGGACAGGTGGGTGGCGATCGGTTCCAGCAGCGGTATTACCAACATCTACGACCGCGAGGCGCTCGTCACAAAGTCCAAGGCGGGCGAGGTCAAGGTTGTGGAGCGCCCCGAACCGACGCGCACCTTTGAGCAGCTCGTCACGCCCATCACGACGCTGACGTTCTCTCCGGACGGCCAGCTGATGGCTTTTGGTAGTTATGAGAAGAAGGACGCGCTGCGTTTGGTACACCTGCCTACTTGCACGGTCTACAGGAATTGGCCCACGGCGCAGACGCCTTTGGGCAGAGTCACTGCTGTTGCGTTTGGAAGGCAGAGCGATCTGCTGGCGGTTGGTAATGACACGGGCAAGATTAGACTGTGGGAGATACGGTCCTAGAGCAGAGAGCACGGGCAGGAAGTTTGTATAGACGGCTGGCGTATTAAAAGTTGGCTGCTGGGTAATTACTGTTTCCATGAATACCAGAATCCCTTCATACCCCTGCATCGATCCCTATCCATCTCTGATTCCAATCCAACCCAAGACAAATGGCCGAAGTTCGTTTCCATGCTTAGTAGCAGCGACTGAGCTCACGCATGAGGGCGCGCATGGGAGTTCCGCGGGTAATGAGATCCTTGGGAACCAACTTCTTGCTCTTGCGCGACCAGTGGGCAAGCTTGTAGACGGTCTTGAAGAAGATGACGGTCTCGGGCTTGGGGACGGCGTCGAGGAACTGACGAATATTGACATGGACAGTTCTGATAGCCTAAGAGATGAAACCCGTGGAGTTAGCATGTATTCAAAGTCTATGAAGTCTCAGACGCTTACTTTGCGACACTGTGTCTTGCTAGGCAGGTCGGTGGGCAGACCCAGGTCACCGCAGAGACGCTGCCAGTCGTCGAGGTCACCATCTCCAAAGTACTCATCCCAGTCCGAGATGAGCTCAGCCAAGAAGGCCTCCTTCTGGGTCTTCTTGTCGGTCTCCTTGTCGGCGATTCCAAGATCAGACATCTTCTGGGTCATCTCCTCGTTGAGCTTGTCGACCATGTTCTGCGCAACCTTCTGCGCGTTCTGTAGACTGCGGATCTCATCGTCGATCTGCTTCTTGGCGAAGGTGACCTCAGCCAGGGTCTCGGCCAACTTCTGCTGGTTCTGGTCGGAGATCTGCTCGTTCTGGTTGGCGACATCGGCGACGATGTCCTTCTCCTGCTCCTTCTCAAGGGCACGTCTCTCCTGGGCACGCTTCTTGTAGGCACGTCGCTTCTCTCTCTTCTTCTCTCTCTTGGCGGCCAGCTTCTCATCGACGTCCGTGGTCGCGTCCTCCTCTTTCTGGTCGGTAACCTCGCCGTCGACCTGCTTGACGTCGACGGTGGGGCTCTCGGTGACGCCGTTGACAACAGCATCGCGGACAGACTTGTCGTCGACAGACTTGTTGTCGCCAGACTGATACTTGAAGGAGTACTCGTGGACAAACTCCCAGTCCTCGACATCAGAGCCGGGCTGATCGAACTCTTCAACACGGCCGCCGGTGTTCTCTTGGAAATTCTTGTCGGTAGCCATTTTGTTGTTGTACGTGCAATTAATTTGTGAAGCCAAGTTGTCGATCCGAAGAGCTGCCTGTGCAATTCTACCTCAGTAAGGTAGTTCTTCTGAGCGAGAAGAGGCTGATTATATGGAGTTTTGGTCCTAGGGACGTGCTGGGGGAGAGGCAGATAGGCTGCCAACCTGTGTTGTAGGGTTGTGATGATGTGTGGTGAAAACTTCAGAGAAGAAATCGGAAGTAAAATACAGGGAAAAGGTCAAGGTGAGATTTGAATCAAGAGGGCACAAACGAAGGAAAGAGCTGCAAGGTCCCGTTCGACTTGAAGGGTAGCGTTTGATGGTCTTCGACACAAGGCCTGCCAGAGAAAGTAATGCATGGCCAAAGAAGCGGGCTGCAACGACAATGGGTGAACCCAAAGAACTGCGCAAAACTCATATCACAACCACGACAATATACTGAAATGGACGGCTGCAGTGCACGGCAGCTCCGTCTGTCTTTGCTGGGTAACCTCACTGACGCGTAAGTTAGAGTGCCAGGGAAATGATTGAGGTCAAAGCTCGCAAAGATGGCCTGGCCAAAGACTCAAAGACTCAGGAGTTTTGAATGAATGAATTCGATTCTCTGCTTTTTAGTCTTTTGACGAATGATGAGTTTCATCTTCATCACAACTGACATAGTGTGTCTGAGAACTGATACTGGGATTTCAAATGGAATAGTTACTATTATAACAAACAGATCACAGCCAGTTATATAAGCGAGTGAGACGAGTTGAGCCTACAGTAACTGGAAAGTCCCATCAGAATGATCCATGGAGCTATCATGTTTAGCTTTGCATGACGGATCAGATATGATAACTATGGTCTTTGTGATACTCTGCGAAAAGGACTGTCTTGCATGTCCTTGCTAAGCCTTAACAACCACCTTTATCTTTTATCCTCACTCACAACTTAACACATCTTATCTTGTGTGAGGTTATAGCAGAAGCTAATGTGCCTGAAACGCATCTTGAAATGAGTACTATATGAATTGAGTGCGTACTTGAGACCAAGTTTTGTCCACAGCTCTCATAGCCTTCCTGAGATGTATCTGGCAGAGCCTCGTGAATGAGCAGCATTGGGTATGGAGGGTGAAGGACCAATGACGTAGTTTCGGAGGAGAACGCGCCCTGCCACCAAGTAAGCATGTACTCAACTGTCAGAGCTTTATCAATCCTGAGCGTTAGGCAAGATTTAATATCGACGGGTAGCCTTTGCCTTGAAGCAATGGGTGATCCCAGTACATTCACTATGGAATGAATATGAGCAGCATCGTTGGTCATGATGATAACATAGCAATTAGAGAGGGCTTCAGGATCGAGTAGTGCAAATATTAATTGATCTCTGACGTCTGACTTACACGATGTGGCCAGAAGCCTGGCCATGTTGAAGTCGAGACAACTAGGCAAGGCGGAGGTCGATCAGATAGGAAACAAACAGTTGAATGCTCATCGTCTCATCACCTGTATCATTTAGCTACAATCCAGCTGGCAGTGACCGACCATGAGAGGCTGAAAACAGACATCGAGCCGAGTCAGCGACAACGAGCCAATATGTTCAATTCTAGCTTCATCGGAGCTCCCATTCCATTCCTCGAATGGACGCCATGCAGGTATTTCATCTTGTGGCTCAGCTGTGGCTACTTTGAAAGTAGCTGAGAAACGAAAACCGTCTCATGTCTCGGGCCAGCTGAGCAGGCCATCCGAAGACGACAGGCATCATCGTTCCCAAATGATACGGAACGAACGGATCTAGAATCTCAGTGTCTTCAAGCCACCGGGGACCCCTCGAATAAAGTGATAAAGTGGGACGAGGACGCTTTGAGGCTGGCAAGCTGGCATCGATGACGACTCACAGAACGCGGGTTTGGCGATTAGAGTTCAACAGCTCTTCAACCGTTTGCGGGCCGGATGAACGCTATCTCACAATGGTGACGCCAGCAACGTTCGGAGGCTTGACGTCGTGACATCTCTTGGCTGCAGGACGGACTTCCCTAGAGCTCTGGAAGCAGCAAGGAGCTTGAGCCTTGACCTCGATGCATTTCCGCGACTCGATCGAGACGAACTGATCTGTGCGCGCGCACTTAGAGTTTAGGGTTGATCAATGACTCTTTTCGTAGGATGGCCTCTCTTCCAGCGGTGATCGATGTTTCGAAATATCGACTAGCAGACCGCCAGATGCGCGAATGTGCGACTTTGCGACTCTGGACGCCGCCGCGGAGTCTTGATATACCTCAGGTTTGATAAGGGTGAAAATTCACAAGCATTTCCCCCACAGTCGCCAATCGTCGGTGAGGACTTTCGCATGACGGGGCTGCAGAGGGACTGCGCGGGCGGCGGTTGGCGTGCACATGTCTCGGAACTACTGCAGAGCACGTAAACGGCCTGCATGTTGCTTGGAATGAAGCCCACTTTGCCATCGGCTCGGGACGGAGGGGTTGCGGCAGTGGGCACGAGACAGTCAAACAGTGAGGCGGCGGCTGAGAGAGAATGTGCGTGGCTGGAAAGATAAACGCGCAAGAGTGACTCTTTGATCGCTGGAGAGAGAGGGAGAGAAAAACGACGTCGTCGTTGTCTTGCTTGGTCCCTGGGAAACTCAGTGTCTTCCGTTTCCACACGGTTCCCACTTTGGCGCATTCTGGGTGGATTGTCCCATCCCATCGGAGTGGACAGAGTGGACTGACCACGCATCGCAGGCGTGGGTTCGACAGGGATGGTGGCGTTGGCGGCCCCGGGGCTGACCGACCCCTTGACACTCTGGGGTGCTGCGGTGCTCTTCGCCTTCCGTGTTGATGTTGGCGTGCAGTTGCGTTTGCGGAGAGCCCTCACTTATGTAATACAGAGCCCCGATTGGCGCGCATTGTGGGTTTTGATGCTTCCACGAGTGTCGCTTCATCTTCATGCAAGGACTTCCATTGGCCAATGCAGTGTTATTGCGGGGGGTTTCTTCAAAGCGAGTTGAACGTCAAGATTTTTCCTTTCCTTTTTTCTTGCTACCCGTCTTCGCTTCCCTGACTCTGCGACAAGTCTTGGGCAAGCCGCAACTGGGTCAAGCAACGGCTCGGAGGCAGGGTGTTGGCTGTTGTTTCCTGGGTTCCAGGTTCCGTCTTGCAGGACGCCCTACCTATCACCGTCAGACAAGTTCCAACGGCACTTCAACATGCAGCAGCAGAGAAAATACTTGCCTCGCCCGCCCGCTGGTGCTGCTACTGCGAAAAACGTGACCAAGAAGAGATTGAGGTCAGACCGTCAGCCAGGCCCGCGAGCCCGCAGTCACGGCCTGCCTGCTGTGGCCGCCCCTCTCTCCGATCTGTGCCGCGCTTCTCCTCACATCTGGCAGCTGGTTCTGACGGAGATCATGCCAGGATCTGGTGACGGATGCGGGTTTCTTCAGGCGCTTTAGCGAGAGTTCCCGACGCCCAGGTTCAGCCCAGGCCGTCACCCCGTCCAGTCCGGCCGTCTCGCGCGCGGCCTGGTCTCTCGTCCGTCTGTCTGGTCAATTACACAGCGCCATCGCTGAGTCGTCGATCGACTGGTCAAATCGCTGACGCCGACGACCGACTCAGGGAGGGAAAAAAAAGAGGCCCCGTCGACCCAAACGGTGCGGTTTGCCGCCCACCTGTGCCCGCTTTCGCTACCCTTGTCACTGCAGTTAGTGGTATCCAGCGGTGTTATGCGTTGCAAAGAGGCAGGACACTGCAATGCGAGGCACATGCTAAACACAGGAAAAAACACCGCACAGCATGCAGACGCACGAAGGAGGAGCAGCTCCAGAATGAGGTGCAGCAGTTAGCAGCAGCCGCAGCAAAAACGAGGAAGACT